TGAAGTGCTGATAAAATAATAAATTTGAAAAAATGTATTTCAACAGGTAAAAGCTTGTTTCATGTAGAAAGAGAAGTTTTACACATCTTGTTTGCTAATTGATCATTTTAGGAGAATGTTGTCAGGAGATATAGTTTAATGGTACTAATATTACTACACCGTCAATGTGAATTTGTCTGTCATACCAAAATTATCTTGTTCACCTCACATACCTGTATACCCCTTAAAGTTTTTTTTTTTTTTTGGCCATAATTCAACTATGGATGTGTTTTTCACCTGACAGAGGGCTAAAGCCCGCTGTTGGCTAAGTTCACACAGTTTGTCCAGGCTCTGGAAAGTTCCTGACTATATGGTCAAGATCAGTCCAGAAACCTGTTCATGCCGCTGAGAGCCTGAGCCAGCTGCTCCCACCCCCTCCACAGCCTATCACTCCAGTGAGCGCTGGAGGGCCAGAGCAGCGATCAAGTGACTGTACACTGTACTGCAAAGGCTAGTTATAGGTTGGACTGGTTGCCACTTTTTTGTAAAGAAGTATAGCCAAACCCATTTTATTTAATCTCCTGTTTTCCACTGACAGCGAGCTAAAGTCTGCTGTCGACTAACGTCACTTAGCCGGTCCAGGCTCTGAAAAGATCCCCGCCATATGGTTGGGATCCACCCAGAAGCCAGGACTGGCACCTGACTCAGCCTCTCAGCGATCTGCTGAGAGTCAGAGCCAGCCCCTCCTGCCCCCTGAACAGTCCAGTGCTCCAGTGAGCCGGTGATTGACAGCTGCATCCACCTAGCTGAGTATAATTTTTTTTTTTTTTTTTTGCTTACCCCGTTACTTGATAATTTTGACATTGCTGAAGATAAAAAGTAGTCTTTTTTGTTTTGTTTTTTAGTAAGTAGACACAGTTTCTGGTACAAATTATGGAATCGTTATTTACAAATGAAAAAAAATTATACTTTGGGGCAATTTTTTGGCACTGGAGAAAATTGCAAACTAATAAATATTAATGGTCAAGAAATTTGAAAATCAGCAGTAAAATAAGTGGAGAAGGGGAGGAATTAGTAGGGGTTAATAAGAATGCAATTAAAAATTTTTTTTTTTTTGACTTTTAAGGTTTCTTTAAGTGATGCAATATGCAGATCAAAGGTCACACTTTTAGTCTGCATATGAATAAAATAGTATATACAATTAAACAATACATTTTAACTTTTGTATTTACACTTGCAAATATGCAAATTATTATTCTACAGGTTTTATCTAGCGCCAACAGTTTACGCAGTGCTTTACAACATACAGTAAGGCCAGACAGTTATTAAAGACAGACTGTTACAATACAAGTTAATACAGTAGGAATCAGAGTGCCCTTCTCGATACAAGAGGCAATAACTGTGGGGGGGGGGGGGAGCTGATGGAGAAAATAGAAGTACAGTTGTTAGGTGGAGGCGGGATAGGCTTCTCAGGGATGGCCTAAAAATTGACAGAGCAGGGAATAGTCAAACAGATTGGGGTAGGGAGTTCCAGAGGATGGGAAAAGTCCTGGAGACAAGCACGGGAGGAGGTTACATGGGAGCTAGAGAGCAGGAGGTCTTGGGAGGAACGAAAAGAACAATTAGGTTGCTATTTAGAGACTATGTTATTGATGTAGCTCAGGGGCTGAGTTTTGGATGGCTTTGTAAGTTGTTTGGCTTCCGCTCACCTAGCACATTAAATTCAAAATACAGAGGAGGAATCAGCAGAGAGGGGTAGCAAAACACTGAACGGGTAGGGTGGATGAGTCTGGCAGAAGCATTTATGATGGACTGAAGGGGGGATAGCCTATGTAAAGGTAAGATAGTCAGGAGGGAGTTTGCAGTAGTCGAGGCAAGAGATGACCAGGGGTGTCACTGGTTAGGAGGAGGCGTATATTAGAGATGTTGCGGAAGTTGAAGCGGCAGACTTTGGACATTGACTGGATGTGGGGCTATAAGAGTTTGCAGTCCAGGATTACACCTAGCACCTTGGCATGTGGGGATGGATTGATAGTTGAAAGAGAAGCCAAGGAAAGGGGCATGTGGGGGAGGAAATATTATGAGCTCTGTTTTGGGTAGATTGAGTTTGAGAAAGTGGTGTAACATTCAGTCTGGTATGTCTGTTAGTAATTCAGTGATGGAGTAGTAGATGGACTGGGTGGAGTGATAGATTTGGGTGTCATCAGTGTATAAATTGTATTGGAAGCCATGGGAAGCTAATAACTGACCCAGGGAGGAGTTGTAGATTGAGAATAGGATAGGTCCAAGAAAAGAACATTTTGGGACCCTGACAGAGATAGGAAGAGGAAGTAGAGTTGCAAATGTAATTTTACACAGGAGCAGTTGCATTTTGATGGTCACTTCTGCAAAGCATTTCCTTACTGTCATTTTGACAAGTGACTGCTGCTAAAAATGGTGAGGGATCGGCGGCAGGGGTAAAGGAGTAGCATATACTGTAAGGGATGCATCCTTAAAACTTTGTTGAAGTATTTTAGGGCATGTCCCTTACGTTCAAAATCTTGAAGTAGTTGAATAGACCAGTAGACCTTTTTATTCACCTATCCCTCAAATCCTTCCTCTCCTTTCTCTATATTCCTTTATCACCCAAAACCCCACCCCCATCCCTTAATTTTTTTTTTGGAGAACATTTTTCCTGCCTACCCAGACTTTGTCCCCCTCCAACCCTTGTCATCCTAGTCTTCTGCCTTTGAATTCTCTGTGCTTTGGTAGCAGTACTAGATTCATTCAAAGGTATAGGTGAGCAGGTTACCAATTAGTATACTGATATTTAAGAATTTTTATTGATGCATTCATGCATTGGACTGTAAAAGTCTTCTTTGTATCTTTTGATATTCTTTTCAAAATATGTTAAATACTCCTCCATCTTGGTGAAAAATATACATAGATTTGTTCAGAAAATGACATGGGTAAGACTTTGGATCTTATACAGAACTGAAAGTGAAAGCTTCCCATCTGTCTCTTGGATAATGTATAACAACCAGACAGATGCAAAGTTTTTTGTTATTAATTTGTCATTTTCCTGTAAAATGTTTATTAAAATTTTTATGAATTGGCTGAGACAGCCCTTTCCTTTAGATAATTGGCCTTAATTGTATGGTTTAACCTTTTATTTTTGGTATAAAGCGCTTGGCTTTGTCTACTCTTTGTCACGGATACTTTTTGGCATACAGACTTTCTAATGGGGTCTTCTATTGTCAACCTCTTTTTTGAAAAGGTTGATTGACTGGCTGTAATTCTTACCCTTTGGCGTTAATACTTTTGAGTAACTAACATGAAACATGTATGCCTTGAAAGGTCCATGGCAGGAGCCCTTTTTTTGTCTATTTGTTCTGGATTATTGAAGTAATTGCTGAAGTAAGATGATCTGCATGAGCTTCAGAAATCCAGCATTTGCAGAATGCGTAGTCAGCAATGACAAACTTTCTAGAAAGATTTTCTTTTACACAGCCCAATTCCAGCAAAACAAAGACCTTTTTGAGACCTCCGAACATCTAATAGGAAGTAAGGAAGCATGAAACCGAGAAGTTCTCTTTCTATACAGTGTTTCGATATTCAGATATATCAGAACTACAGTACAGTCTACAATGAGAAAACGTGTCATGTCTAAAGAAAACCGTAGTAATGCTCTCTGGTGTTTTTAGGTAATCATGATGCAAGTTCCTCTTCAACTGGTAAGATTCATGTTACCTCAACATAAACCATGATAGTAATAATTTTCTCAAGAAAATATAATGGTGTAAGCCATATGACACCTTTGCCCAGGGCCCTTCTTATGTCTTGAAACACAATTCTAGAATCCGTTTATAGCATCAGCATTAATACATAAGAATTTCAATGAAGCCTGCTTTAAAAGTTACATAAAATGGAAAAGTACTTTTGGATTAGAAAAAAATCCTATAACTCATCCCTGTCTGCTCTCCTTATAAACTCTTGAAATGTAAGTGAAATTAGACTTGCCCAGGTTTTTAAAATTAAAACTGTAGGTACAAAATGTTTAGAGACATCCTTTGCTCTCCATGGCTCTCAGTCCCATGTATTCATGAGATTCTTGTAGGATGCCATGCAAGGTTGCAAGTCTGTGGTGGTTGTTCTTTTTTTTTTTTTTTTTTTTTTTCCTAGGGATGGCCTTCTCAGAAATAGATTTGAGGCCTTTACCAACACATCACCAACAATGTCACAATCCAAAAGATAGCAAGTAAGAAGAATTCATTGTTAGGATTTACATACACTTAAGGACTATACATTTAAAAGTAAAGAAAAAATAATAATAATCAACTGCAGAATAGCAGTACCATTTTTCACAGACTTTTTAGAAAATAATAATTATTGTTTTATTTTTATAGACCATCCAAAAAAATCAGGATGGTTAACAACCTTTGACAACCCCAAGGCTTAAGTGACAAAGAACATAGACAGCTTGGCCAGTAACGTCACTTCTTTGCATCTAAGAATTGTGCTTGTGTAAAATTGTGGTTTTATTCAGTTTATCTTCTTAATCAAACATAAAGCATAATGTTTTTGTTTCTAACAATTGTCTCCTAAAATTACAGCTGTGAAATTAAATCTAATAGCAAAATAATTATTATGCTATTACCTTGCTTGCCATGCTTGTACACTTTTGTTCTGTTTAGTTTTATTCATAATTTAAGCAGGAACTGCTAACATTGATAAAAATTTCCTTGTAATGAAGCATAAACACTCGTAACCTTTCATTTTAGAATATTTGAACACTGCAATTTGCCTAATTACTTTTAAATAGTAATATAAGAACAGTGTATAAAAGAAGACTACCTAGAAGGTTAGGAATGCCATCATAGCTTGTTTTTAATTTTCGGGCAGAACAGGGCATGTTTTATGCAAATGATCTTAATATTTTTGCAGTGCTGCTGTACATGCAGTTCAATTTCATAAACAATAGATTGTTCTAAGCATGTGGCAAATTGCAAATGTCTTTTGTGCCTAATTGTGGAATATTTGTACCTGATGATGAACTCTCTAAAGTGTTACCAAACCCAGGACCCTGCATTCACTATATATGATCTCCCACAGTACATAGAACATGGAAGTACAATTATTTTAGTAAATATAAACTGCTAAATACCTTTTCTCATCAACAGTGTATAGCAGTCTTGTGACTTCTATCATTGTCCAGCAGAGCACTGGTTAAAGCTTTTAGGAGGAGTTTTCAGTCTCCCCTGATTGTCCTATGAGCAGTGGCGGACTGACCATTTGGAAACTCTGGCACTGCCCGAGGGCCTGGGGTCAGTAGGGGGGGCCCATGAGATGCCCCTGGTACCTTTTTCATAGGCTTTTTTGAGTTTGGGCAAGGACACAGGGGCCCCATGATCCCCTATTGCCTGGGGGCCCCATGAGGTGTCAGTCAGCCCCTGCCTATGAGGCTGCTTAACCCCTGACCCTCTGTCTTAACAGTGCTGATTTAGTCCTGTACTAATCACATCCACCCTTCCAAAGAGAAAAAAAACACTGTAGCAATACACCCCAAACTGAGCATGTGCAGCTTTTGCGCCCAAGGCTCTGTTCTATCAGTAGATTGATTGGGGACAGTAGAAGAAAGGGAGGATCAGAGAAGACATGATCAAACATCCTTTTTACACAGTGTGAAGGATTAACCCCTTAGGTTTCACAGTGAGTATACCAAGCATGCTTTACTGCATATACAGAGTGATTTCACTGTTTTTTTATGGGTTTAGTAATTCTATAACTCTATACTGTCCATAGAGGTGAAAAATACGCCATTATTGCAAGCATGCCCCAAAAGCCTTGGAGAGCTGTAGAATGAGTGGTTTTGTCTCTTATTTTGGCAACAGACATCCAGATGTGCTGGCTTCAATGTGGATTTGTGCTTCCAAAAGTGGATTCCTATTAATGCACGTGAACCAGTGATGTAGTGCGTGAGGAGAAATTGTTATTTTATGTTCTTAGTTATGAATTACCAGGTTTTATGCTATGGGATCTCTAAGAGGAGGTGGAAACTAAGCTGTCCCTATGTTCTCAGGTGAATTCTATGATAGATGTGACAGCCATGTTAGGGGTGATTAGATACAGCTGGCGCTAGATATGTGCAAATTTTAATGTGATTTGTATGTGGTTCAAGTATATTTACTTTACATTACTGTTATGGCTAGTATTATTCAGTAAATGCAGTGTTCTTTTGACACCAGTTTGAGAGTCGTCTCAGATCATTCAGGAATTATTTTAAGTAAATATGACCTGCAGTCGATGTGCTTCAAACTGCTTTTGCATTTACAGTCTTGTATAGGAAAAAACAATCTGAAGCAATAAAAACAAAAGTTGACACAGGGTCTTAGTCATTACAGGCTTTAATGAGAAGTATGGCAAAATCATTTTTCCATCCTGTGTTAATGAACAAGATTACTATTAAACTATGGATTGAAGACATTGCAACCCTATTTATGTTAATCTAAAATCATAATTGCATTATTTCTAAGATGGTCCAAAGTTCCTTCCCTTTCTGAAATCCAAAATTATGCAAACCAATTGATTTAAATAATTTATGTAGGTCTCATTAGAAAATTTTAGATATAAGGAATAATTTTTAGATTTTACTAGTAGTTCACCTTTGTCCTCAGAACTCTTTGGTCGCACAAGCTGTCACTTTAAGCTCTAATTACTTCTACACAGTGGTGGCTTGGCACTCCCAACCTACAATTATAATATTAGACAGCTATGCTGGTAACAATAAAAGGAAATAACCCTGCTGTGAAATTAGAAGCTGCTATATTGAGCTGGTATATTGTGCCAACAATCTTGCCATATGGAGGACCTCGTTGTGCAAAACAAGTCTATAAAGGCAATCCTTGGGGGTCTGGGTAATGGCAACCAAAAGTCCTTTCAACCAGGTTAAAGTGGAACATTACCCATAACTTGAAAAAAATAATGTTCTTTAACAAGAAACATACATTTCACATTATTAATTATGCTACTAAAATTAGTGTGTGCTGTAAATTGCCTCCAGCATTATTCCAGTTTCTTCCTGCTGGAGGCTGCCATTTTTCTGAAGCCCAGAGTTCTGAGTCAATAAAATGGTGGTTTTGCAAATTTTTTTATGTCACACGGTATTTGTGCAGCGGTTTTCAAATGTGAATGTTTTGGAAAAATTTAATGAATTTTAGTGCACACAATATAATACCCAATTGTTTGGCAAAATATAATGTTATGCCAAGTAAATGGATACCTACCATGTCACTCTTTAATAATGTGTATGCCCGTAAAAATGGCACCAGACTACAGTGTTTAAAAATCTCCATAGGCGACGCTTTAAAAACCTTTACAAGTTACCAGTTTAGAGTTACACAAGAAGTCTGATTAAATTATTGCACTTGCTATAACATACACGACAATACCTTACATGCGTAAACGCAAGCACGGCCTAAGTATGTATTTGCCTTTGGCCATGAGCACGGAGGGATGGGAGTGCTTTAAAAAAAAAAAAAAAAGTATTATTTATTACATATTTTTATTTTTAAACGGTCTTTAATTTTTTTTTCTCAACTCTATTGCTATCACAAAGAATGTAAACATCCCTTGTGATTATTGTTTTTATTATTATAATACATGATTTATATAGCGCCAACCGTTTTCAGAGTGCTTTATAATATAAAAGGGGACAGTACAATTACAACACAGTTAAATACAGAAGGAACAAGAGGGCCCTGCTCATAGAGCTCACAATCTTAAGTGTGTGTGGGGGGGGGGGGGGGGTGGTGGTGGTACAAAAGGTAATAGCTGCAGGGGATGATCTGATAGAGGTGACTAAAGTACAGTTTTTAGGTGGAGGTGAGGTAGGCTTACCTAAATAAATGAGTATTCAAGGATCACCTAAAAGCGGACAGGGTAGAAGCTGACCGACATACTAGGCAGGGAGTTCCAGAGGATGGGAGAGGCTCTGGAGAAGTCCTGAAGGCAAGCGTGTGAGGAGGTAACAAGGGAGCTGGAAACAGGAGGTCTTGGGAGAAATGGAGAGGACGATTTGGGCGATATCTGCAGATGAGGTTGGTGATATAGCTGGGGGTGATGTTGTGGTTAGTATTCTGAATTTTATACGATGGGGTAGGGGAAGCCAGAGAAGAGATTGGCAGAGAGGGGCAGAAGTAACTGATCAGTTAGTAAGCTGTATTAGTCTAGCAGTAGCATTCATAATAGACTGAATGGGGGGGGGGTAGCCTGTGCAAAGGTAGGCCACTGAGGAGGGACTTGCAGTAGTCAAAGTGGGAAATAACCAAGGAGTGAATAAGTTGTTTTGTGGTGTCGTTAGTCAGAAAGGGGCGAATTCTGGAAATGTTGCCGAGGTTAAGGCAGCAAAATTTAGCCAGTGATTGGATGTGGGGCCTGAAGGAGAGGTCAGAGTCTAGGATTACACATAGCACCCTGGCATATGTTGAGGGACCAATGGCTGTGCCAATGGTCTCACTGGAAAAAGTCATGGGGAGGGTATCGGGGATGATGAATTATTACAAGCTCCGTTTTAGAAAGATTGCGTTTGAGGAAGTAGTGTGACATCCATACTGATATGTCACTCAGTAAATTTATGGTATGTGAGGGGGCAGTTGAGGAGTCAAGAGATAGATCTGGGTGTCATCAGCAAAGAGGTGGTATTGGAAGCAATGGAAGGTTGTCAACTCTCCCAGGGAAGAGGTATACTGAGAGAAGAGGAGGGGTCCAAGGACAGAACCTTGGGGTACCTCAACAGAAAGAGGAAGAGGAGTGGAGGGAATGGTGTTGTATGTGACACTGAATATGCACTGAGATAGGTAGGAGGAGAACCAGGAAAGAGCAGAGTCATGGAGGCCAAGGGAGTGGAGTTTGGTGAGGAGGAGCGGGTGGTCAACTGTGTCAAAGGCAGCAGGAAGGTCTAAGAGTAGGAGTATGGAGTACTGGCCATTGGTTTTAGCAGTTAGTAGGTCATTGGTGAGTTTTAGTAGGGAAGTTTCTGTGGAATGTTGTGGGCAGAAACCAGACTGTAGGGGATCAAGAAGGTTGTTGTCAGTAAGGTAGCAACTCATTGGGGTCCAGTGAAGAATTTTTGGAAATGGGGGTGACCAGTGCATGTTTGAGTGGGGAGGTAAAGGTGCAGGAGGAGGAGAAGGATAGGTTGAAGTTGTGGGGCAGGAAGGTGGCTGCAGTAATTGTGAGGGGACAGGGTCCAGGGGACTGAGGGTGAGCTGGGCAGCGGAAAGGAGTTTGGCAACATTCCTCAGTGGCAACAGGGTTGAAGGAGGAATGTGTTTTTTTTTTTTTTTTTGTTTTTTTTTAAATAACTGGCAATCTCCTGGGCAGTAACAGGGATGTTTAATTTGTACCGCCCAATGCCTGGGACATGTAGTTCCGGGCACTAGCGCGGGTTTTTTTTTTTTTTTTTTTTTTTTAACACTTTAGCCATACTGCAGGCAAGCAGCAAGGCTAACCTGTTAGGTAGAAGCATTCAGGCGGCTCCGCTGCCACCGATTGCTTCCTGTCCCCCCCCCCCCCCCCCGTGTACCTCTGTTCTGCCCGCTATGTCTCCCGGGCTCTGCTTGCCCATCTGTGGTCCCTGGACCAATTCAGCTGGTGCCGGTGTGTAGAGGGTGCCTCTTCTTGTCCTGACCCGGAAGAGATGTTACAACGTCACTTCCAGGCCCCTGTTGACAGATTTCTCAGCCATCGTTGCCAGTAAAGAATGTAATGCAGTGCATTACATCCAGTTTAGTACAGGGGAGACACCCAAGCACAACCCCCCCCCCCCCAAAAAAAAATTTTTTTTGAGGCCCACACATATACGCATGCATAAACCTAACAGCACATGCCAGAGTACCTATGCAAAATTGGTTTGTGATACACATGTTCCATATCGGCGAGCATGCCAGAGTGTGAGCAATAATTCTAGCACAAGACCTCCTCCGTAACACTAAACTGATGATCTATAAGGGGCTTTAAAAGTGTCGACCTATAGAAAATATAAGGTACTAAAGTTAGTCACCATTTCACGAGCATGCAAAAATTTAAGGTTTGAGATGTTGAATATCTATATACTTGGTGCAACCTCAACTTTTTTACATTTTACAAAAAAAAAAAATGGGTAATTTAATTGCTGTTTTGTGCTCTAAAATTTAGTCTATTTTTTTTACTGAAATTTTGCGTTTCCTAGACCTTAGTGGTAGTTCCAATTTATGTCACACGATATTACCACAATTTTATTCTCTAGGGTTTTTGCTTTCAGAAAATATTTTGTTTTGGCGGTTTTATGTAATTTTCAGGCCTAAAATTATTTTTTAAACGTGCAAAAAACACAAAAAGAGCCCATCGAAATGATAAAGGATAAGCCTGATACTCCCCTTTGCTGACTAGCACCCAATCGGTGCTCATTACACTGCAAGGGCTCTCTCCTCCCTGCTAGTCCCCGGGTGCAGTGCTGGAGGCAGGCAGGGAGGGGGCGATAATTAAATTTTTAAAATATTAATTGCTTAGGTTGTCATAAAGCCCGTTTTTGTTAATTTAAAGCTCCAGACATACAGTTTTGGTTGAAATTTATTTTTTTTTTGTCCCTGAACAAGTGGTTATTTCAAAAATTTCCACACCCCTAAGTAAGCAAGTTGGTGGAGGTGGCTGCCAAAATATGTGTGTGCTGTAAATTGCCTCCAGAAATGTTCCTGTTTCTTCTTGCTGGAGGCTGCCATTTTGTTGAAGCCCAGAGTCCAGAGTCAATAAAAAGTCCTGAGCAGCATTAAACCTTTAGGCATTCAGCAGATAGGCCTCTCCAAATTTGGCACAGTGCCTAAAGATATAGAGCAATTGAGCATGTGCAGAGCTAAGTGAGACAGTGTATTACTAGACTTTAACTACTTCCCTACTGGGTCAATTCTGACATTTTTTTGCCAGAAAATTACTTAGAACCCCCAAGCATTATATAAATTTTTAGCAGAAAAATTTTTTTTTTTCTGAAGAAGTCACGAGGTACGTGACGTAACGCGTAGGCAAAGCTAAGACGCAACTTCCGGTATCCGGAGTGTCGCACTTCCGTGTGGGACGCCATTTTCCTGGTTATCAGGAAGTATCATCAGAGGTTTGCAGTTTGCCCATATAGGGACGGAATTGCCGCTGTACAACCGAATGTGAGTTACTTTTTGGCTATATGATATTAAACCCTTACATATTGGAAATACTACACTATGGAGGATCTGTTTTTTCACTCACTATTTCTGTGAGAGAGAGTTTGCAGACAATCGCTGGTGAGGAGCCTGTGAGGCATAACAGTGAAGGAGTGGAGGAGGCCTGATAGGAGGAATATCAGGAAGGTGCCAAACCAGGAATTTTGAGGATCCAGGGTGATCCTAAAGGCTTGTGGGCCCCTAGGGGTCGCAGGAAGGAGGTGAGCAGGCATTGCAGCCGAAGTGGAAAGAAGTGTGTTGGTTCACGAGTGGCACTATCTATATATATATAAACACTGTGCATGTATATAGAGAACACTTGGAATAGATGGATTTGAATTGGAATATTGGACATTGAATGAAGTTAAAGTGGCACCATCACCCGATATTTATTTATTTATTTATATATTTTTTTTGAAGTGGCACTATCACAATATATTTTTATGGAATATGATTATAATATTTGTAAGAGAGTGATATTTACGAGGGTATTTAGTGGTCTAAGAGCACTGTGAGGATCACAGCACTTATCACATTAATTATATTATGTATTATTCATTATAATGGTACTGTTTTATTTGTATGTTTAGCGCTACACTAATTTATTAGTATTTAGTTCGATGTAGGAGAAACTGGCAACAGAGATTTTCTTGTATGCTCCTCCATAGATACAGTACGTGAGTGTGTGTTTTCTCACACTGGGAAGGGAAGTGGCACACCACGTGAGAATAAGGCAAAAAAAATAAATCAAATACAGTTACTACATCTAAGGAATGGTAAGCTGAAACATATAAAAAAAGGTTTGGTCTTGTTTTATATGAATTTTTAGCAGCTCAGGAAAACAAATGCTCTTCTATGCCATTAAAGTTACTAAACCCAGGACCCTGCATTCACTATATCTGGTCTCCCACAGTACACAGAATATGGAAGTGCAATTATTTTCGTAAATATAAACTGCTAAATACCTTTCCTCATCAGCAGTATATAGCAATCTTGTGATTTCTATCAGTGTCCAGCCGAGGACTGGTTAAAGCTTATAGGAAGAGTTTAATTCTCCTCTGACTGTCCTATGAGGCTGATTGGCCCTGTGCCGATCACTCGCAACCCCCCCCCCCCAAATAAATCTTCTGCATTGCACACCAAACTGAGCATGTGTGCAGCGTTCCTCCTAAGGCTCTGTTCTATCAGCAGATGGATTGGGGACTGTGGAAGAAGGGGAGATCAGAAAACTCAGTACCAAATAGCCTTTTTACACAATGCGGAGGATTAATGCCTTAGGTTCCACTGTTGGGTATGACAAGCATGCTTTACTGGTGAATGGATGGACACTGCTCAACTGAACCCAAGAGTCCAATGTTAAGGAATGACCTCAGCCGCTGTTTATGCTTTACTGCATATACAGACTGATTTTACTGTTGTGGGTTCAGAAACTGTTTAACTGCATTTTGCTAAAAAGGAACAGACACCTTCAATAGCTAACTGGAATGGGCTAATAAATGCAGCCCTAGCCACTGTTACTGTATGGGTTCTTGGATATGACCGTATTTCAGGCGTACAGCCGCAAAATGTACATTACAACGCTTATGGGGCCCAGGAGCCATAGCTGCAGTGTATTTTAGCCCCCAGACATGCATTACAAAAACTGCCGGCACTTGCAAACTGTTGTTATGCTTTGCTGCATGTATGCTACATGTGTAATTGCAAGTGCTGATGTTTATGTGCATATATAGCTGCCTACGGTGGTTTTTGTGATGCATATCTATAGACAAAAATATGCTGCAGCTGTGGCTCCCGGAAACTATACAATAGCCATCATGTATTCTCTATGGTCATACATCTTTAAACATGTCTCACTTATCTCAGCCATTACTGCCTGGCAGACACTGTCAGAATTACCGCCATATCAGCCCATGTAACTGCTATGGATTTTGAGCCAGAGAAGAGGAGTTGTAGATGGGACCTAAGGGATGACAAGTGTTAGGCCAAAGATCTCCTGTATTGCCACTCACACCGGGCTGTCTGACTCAATCTAAACCTCCCTCAATGCGGGACCCACACAGGATTTGATAGCTCACTTGATCAGCAGTGTCATTTGTAAACACAGAAGCCAACAGAGGATGCTATCTCTCAGAGCTGCACTACCACTGCTTAAAGCAGAGCTCCACCCAAAAGGGGAACTTTAAGCCCTGGTCCCCCGCTCCCCATAACAAATTGGCACCTTTCATCCAGCTGCCTAGGCGATTGGAAGCAGATGTTCTCCTTACCTCCCCTCCCTCCCACAGTCTTCTGGGACACGTGATAGGTCCAAGGAGGCTCTGGGACCATTCGCAATGCTCAGCGCTGCTCGCACATGCATAGTGGGCACCCAGCTGTGAAGGCTCAAGCTGTCACAGCCAGGTGCCCACACTTTAGGTGCCAGCGCTAGGGACAGAGGACAGCCGTTGACCCCTGCTGCAGGGAGCACATCGCTGAATCTTGTGACAGGTGAGTGGCTGACTTTTTTTTTTTTTTTCATAATAGGCTGGAACTCCATTTTTAATTTTGTGTAACCTACTTTACATTCTGTATTCTATGCCATCTCATTCTATACGCCATGCTGTACATTTCCTATTCCACACCGCCTCATTCATTATGTTATGCTGTATGTTCCCTATTCCACACTGCCTCATTCTGTAAGCCATGCTACTCATTCCCTATTCATGCTTTACATTCCCTTTACATCAATGTCATCTCATTCTGTACGCCATGCTGTACATTTCCTATTCCACACCGCCTCATTCATTATGTTATGCTGAATGTTCCCTATTCCACACTGCCTCATTCTGTAAGGCATGCTACTCATTCCCTATTCATGCTTTACATTCCCTTTACATCAATGTCATCTCATGCCATATGTCATGCTGTACATTTCCTATTCCACACTGCCTCATTCATTATGTTTTATGTTCCCTATTCCACACTGCCTCATACTGTAAGCCATGCTACACATTCCCTTTTTATGCTTTACATTCCCTTTACATCAATGTCATCTCATTCTGTACGCCATGCTGTACATTTCCTATTCCACACCGCCTCATTCATTATGTTATGCTGTATGTTCCCTATTCCACACTGCCTCATTCTGTAAACCATGCTACACATTCCCTTTTCATGCTTTACATTCCCTTTACATCAATGTCATCTCATTCTATACGTTATGCTGTATATTTCCTATTCCACACCGCCTCATTCATTATGTTATGCTGTATGTTCCCTATTCCACACTGCCTCATTCTGTAAGCCATGCTACTCATTCCCTATTCATGCTTTACATTCCCTTTACATCAATGTCATCTCATTCTGTACGCCATGCTGTACATTTCCTATTGTACACTGCCTCATTCATTATTATGTTATATGTTCCCTATTCCACACTGCCTCATTCTGTAAGCCATGCTACTCATTCCCTATTCATGCTTTACATTCCCTTTACATCAATGTCATCTCATTCTGTATGCCATGCTGTACATTTTCTATTCCACACTGCCTCATTCTGTAAGCCATGCTACACATTCCCTATTCATGCTTTACATTCCCTTTACATCAATGTCATCTCATGTCATACGTCTTGCTGTACATTTCCTATGCCACACTGTCTCCTTCCGTATGCTATGCTATATGTTCTCATTTTTGCACTGCCTCATTCATTAACAGTGGATGTTATTTGTTATGAAGTGCATTTTACAATGACAAAGCAAAAGTCATACTTCAAGAAAGACTTTTTTTTTTTTTTTTTTTTTTTTAACATGTGCATAACATTAAGAGAGAATCTATGTTCAGCAGTAATAGGTTACATAGTTTTGCATCATGTAAGATCATGCATCATGAAAGTAATCAATCCTTCTGTCCTTTTTGACACTGTGAGGTAGATTTAATAAAGACAAATGCTGTAGCTGTTCTCATTGCAAGGGAAGTTGCAATCTGTAAGAGCATTTACCCCAGAGCTTGGTGAATGTGGTGTATTTTCACTTTGCAAAGAATACCCAATAATATTCAAGGAAAATAATCATTAAAAAAAATTTTTTTTTTTGTTTGCACATGAAAGGATGATAGAAGCCAGCAAAGCTTCTGGGGAAAATTCTCTTGCAAAGTGATCAACATTTGGGAAATCGACTGCTGTGAATTTGGCTTCTTTTCTGAAGCAATTGGCTTGCTAAAAAAAACTGTGCTGTTTTGTTTTATTTATTGTACAAAATGCTATTTTGAGTAATGGTATATTGGTGTTCAGCTACCATATTCTTTTTTTGTAATGTGTTATTGGGATATAGTGCTGTAATGTCAAAAGAATGATCTTGTCCTGTACTTTAAAAGCCTCATTTACACTGCTAGTGTCAAACTTACAACGATTTTTCAGTGCTACCATTCACACTGTGCTTTTATCTGCGTTTTAGATGTGGTTATTTAAAGTGTTACTAAACCCAGGACCCTGCATTCACTATATCTGGTCTCCCACAGTGTAAACTGCTAAATACCTTTTCTCATCAGCAGTTAGAGCAGTCTTGTGACTTCAGCAGAGCACTGGTTAAAGCTTGTAGGAGCAGTTTTCTTTATACTCTAGGACATGGGTGTCAAACTGGCGGCCCTACAGCTGTTGCCGAACTACAAGTCCCATGAGGCACTGCAAGATTGACAGTTATAAGCATGACTCCAAAAGGCAGAGGCATGATGGGACTTGTAGTTTCGCAACAGCTGGAGGTCTGCCAGTTTGACACCCCTGCTCTAGGAAAATGTGAAACCTCTGACCCTCTGTCTGGACATTGCTGATTGGCCCTGTGCTGATCACATGCACTCTCCCAAGAAAACAAAAAACCTCTAGCCATACACACCAAACTGAGCATGTGCATATGACTATGGATTAAGTCTGTATCAGGTGGTCATTTCAATAAGAGGAGGGGCAGAGCAGAAAGGATCAAACAGCCTTTTTACACAATGCAGAGGATTAACCCCTTAGGTTCCACAGTGATTATAACAAGCATGCTTTACTGCATATACAGACTGATTTTACAATTGTAGGTTTAGTAACACTTTAAGCTGTGTTTGTTGAAAATAGAATTCTGTTTCTCCAGGATCTGATTAGAAACTCTAACACTGCAGACTAAAGGTCAACATGGCAGCCTTTATTGACAGAGTACATCATGGAGGATATTTTCCAGTATACCTACAGTTATATAGTGGAGCAGCCTAGTAATGTGGTTAAAAGAGAAGTGCGGGTTTTCAAAAAAACAAACAATCATACTTGCCTAAGTGGATGCAGCATCGGTCTGATGCTGCATCCACCTAGGTGAGTATGATTGAGCAATTAAAGACCACTGATCTCACGGTTCTTGGTCTTCAGTGAACTCTATGGGTTCTGTGATCTGCCCCTCCAGAGCTCACTGGAGCAGTTGATGTGAAGGGGGTGGAAGTGGCTGGCTCAGGATCTCAGCTGCATGCTAGCAGACTGAGCCAGCTGCTGGTCAGGCATCTGGGTGGATCCTGACATTATTGTCGAGATCCCTACAGAAGCTGGAGCAGCTTTGTAACGTCAGCCATCAGCAGGCTTTAGCCTGGTGTCAGGTGATTCTGGGCCCACAGGAGTGCAGAACTAATTGTACTCCTGTGACCCACAGGAGAAGTATAACCAAAAAAGCTTTGGCCATATGTCTCCTTTAAATTCTGCAATTGTAATGGCACAGTTCTTCTAAATGTCATGTGTTAGACTGTCACCACATACATATCACAAGGAAGGCACATTGACAGTAGTGTTTGCTTGTTTTCCCTTCAGCAATTCAGTTTGGCTGCCCTCCAGGGGACTGGCAAGATATACTCCATTGCAGTGCAGAGGCGGCTGCCACTTGAGTCTAGGACACATTCTACAACTCAACAGAAACCTCTGATGTGCGCTGTTGATCCTTATATGAACCACACTGCTGGACAGGTTCTTCGCCAACAATTCTTGGTAAAAGGGCCGTACAAAGCAAATTTTAGTGGGTAGTACTTTTTCTGTATGTACTTTTTTTTTTTTTCCGTACATAGACTATGGTGTATACCTCTGGCTGAGCTACCAATAGCATTTTTGTTTTCTAGTGAGTCATTGTATAGATGTCAGTTTGGACGTAGGTAGAGATTTTGCAGTAATTTGCTTATAATGAGCACATTTTATAGTTTGCTTAGTTTCTCGAAAGTTTTTTTTTTTTTTTTTTCCTTTCTTGTTTTAGAACTTGAAGTAATTGGAAGAGCTGCAGTGATTTCACTGTGTATACATTGAACAGACTGCCGACCTCGTTACTTTCCTGACCACATTAGTACTATACATCACATTTCAATGAGCTTTGAGGATATTACTAAGCACTGGAATGCTTTGAGACCACAAGTGCATTTACTGGTAGAAAGAGGAGCTTTTTATAGAATAAGTGAAATGCCTATTTTTTTCTCCCCACACTGCAGATGGAACTAAACAAACCACCTATGCATTTCTAGCAATGGCTACTATTTTTTGGAAGGAGCTCAGGATTTAGTGCCCCCTTGCCATAGCAGCTGAGTTATAATATAAATGTTAGTTTTACCTTGTGTTTTATGTATCTATAAGTCTATGTGCTTGTATTTATATGCTTGTGAAAAAAGAAAAAAGATTGATTTTTTTTTTAATTGTAACACTAGTTGCTGGCTAGTACAAATTTACCATATATTTTTAGACCCACATATTTAAACCCACAGGATACAATCATTCATGTACACAGGTATCAGACTTGGAAACATGCCCAACATGGTATGCATTCAGGGACAATTAACTTGTGTGTTGATATGAGTTGCTTTTGCATTCAACATTACCATTCAAGACCAGTTTCCACACATACAAAATGGCCATATACATAAACTGCTTCTTCGGTAGAAAGTTCTTATTTGTAAAGGACAGGAGAAAATTCTGAAGGCTGCTATTGCTTACATTTCCTTCTTAAAATGCTAATTGCCTGACTGTCTCAATTTTGCTGTAAATTTAGTAGTTTCCAGGACAGGTTGAAGTAAAAAATCTCTTTTCTGACTCATTTGCTGTATACCTGTCTCAGGTCTTTGATTCAAAAGTATTAAAAGCAAGCACCATTTCAAGGGAATACGGAGTAATGGAAGCCATTTCTTTCTCATGTGGGTGTCCTTTATGTGCTAATACTTAACTGCAGTAACCCAGAGCAGACAATCAGTAGTACTTAGTGTTACTAAACCCACAACAGTAAAATCAGTCTGTATATGCAGTAAAGCATGCTTGTTATACTCACTGTGGAACCTAAGGAGTTAATAGTCTGCATTGTGTAAAAAGGATGTTTGATCCTGTCATCTCTGGTTCTCCTCTTCTCCTGTCCCCAGTCTATCTACAGATAGAACAGAGCCTTGGGGGCAAGCTGCACATGCTCAGTTTGGTGTGTATTGCTAGAGAGGTTTTTTCTTTTCTTGGGAGGGTGCACATGATCAGCACAGGGCCAATCAACACTGCCCAAACAGAGGGTCAGGGGTTGTGCAGCCTCATAGAACAATCGGGAGAATGACAACTCCGCCTACAAGCTTTAACCAGTGCTCTGCTGGACACTGACAGAAGTTAAGACTGCCCTAACTGCTGATGAGAAAAGATTTTAGCAGTTTGTTTACTAAAATAATTGCATGGCCATGTTCTGTGAGATACCAGATATAGTGATGCATGGTCCTGGGTTTAGAAACACTTTAATTGTAAAGGCTTTTTTAAATAAAATTCTGTTATACTTACCTGCTCTTTGCATTGGTATTGCACAGAGCTGGCGCTATCCTCAACTTCCTCCAGGTGCTTTCTCAGAGTTTCCCATGATAAGTGGAAAAGAGCAGTGATGGTGGATATGGGACAACGCTGGATCAGTGGTGGAGTCAGGTAAGTGTTTAGGGACAAAGGGGGGATCCAGGCATTGGATTTTTTTTTTTCTTCACTTAGTCAATAGAATGCATTAATGTAAAAACCACTTAGACTTTAGAACTGAACTTGGGGGCTTGGAACAGTTACATTCCAAATGGTGGGTGGAGGTGCCGGGACTGGATGGAGAGGACTGGAAGGATATGTGGGAATATCCTTGCCTCCAATTGGTTTCCTCCAGGGATAAGTTGATACTTTTTAAAATTCTGCAGTGAATCTCACACTACAGAGGCTACACTGTAAAATATATTCTACCATCTACCCTAATTGCTGAAGGGGTATGGTCTGGTTTTGCAGACTACGTGACCTGTACATGTTTTACGATTTCCCCCCTGTACAGGGATTTTGGTTTGAACACCTTTGTTTTATCGCTAATGTGACTACTATCCAAATCCCAATGCAAGTAGAAACATGTCTGTTGGGCTTGGTAGAATCGGTCGTCTCTGCTAGAGCAACCAGGGCCATCTTGGGTGTTCTCTTATTTTATGCAAGAAAATTGTTTGGGTTACAATGGAAATCAAATGTTGCCCCCATTTTAGACTTCTGGAAATCCTTGGTGAGCTCAGTAATCCCTTTTTTACATGGCAAAATATCAATTGTGCGTGTGTCATAAAAAGGTTAATAAAGTATAAGATTTCTGTATTAATTAGATTCCACTAATGTATCCTATATTGGGACTGTCACGGATCCACGATCGCCGCCACCAACATGCGACAATCGCACGACCGCGACTAACAGTAATACGTCACGCCCACGGCGTCAGACCCCAGACCTTTTCACCAAACTCGTGACCGAAGGACCGGCTGATCTAAAACCGCGGTGTGACACGCGTAACAAGGCCACACTCAGCTGCACCCAGCACAGCAATTGCCCAGCTAATGGACTACAATCGGTGCCTGCAGCCTAAATGCGCTTGTTACTGGGTCGGGTTAATTACGCAACTAACCCTCTACTGCCACCACCACTTTTGTTGGAGACTGGAAAACTCCCGTTATCAAATATACACTATAATGATTGAAATATTGATCTATATAGCACAGCCCGCGGACCTGTTATACAGAGATATACCAAACAGTAGCGTCTCTTCAAAGGCAGGGATTCGTGAATTGCAAGTAAGCGCTTAGAAACAGTTTAACACTTTCAGAAAGAAAGATTTATTACTAAAAGAGTCAAAACAGGTGCAATACAATATTTACAAAGAGATGTCACAAATATATATATATATATGTATATAAAGACACAGCAAAGAAATAATTAGGAAGAAGATTACAGGGTTAAGTTACTTGCCCATATGCCTGGGTTTGCAGATTCCAGCTGCAGAGCAGGGTGATTTCTTGATCTCCTTTTGTTACGATGTTAGCTGCGAGATCTCTTACACTCTGGCTCACAGGCTTGTCTGCCTGTCTCTCTTAAAATCCCTCTCAAAGGGAGGGGGGCTCTGACTATAGTTTTGGGAGTGGTCATTGGGAAACTCTGAATTAAACTACCAGCTTCATACCCCATGATATGAAACATACAGTTGACTTGAGGAATGTGCAATTACTCTGGTCAGTTTGATGATGTGTGGGCTTACACCGTTTTGGGTCAATGCTTCCCAGCTCTCTGAAAAAGGCTGGCCTTATCAGAACGTAGGTGAGAAAGGTGACAG